AAAATTAAATAAAATCAATAATTTCACTGGTTGAAATCATGAGTCCATTGAAGCTAGACCACCATGGAAAACCTGGAAGCACTGGGTGGCCGTTTCGTCCTAGTATGAGACTCCCCAGCAGTGCGCACCCATCGAATCTCGCGGGGGGGCGGGATCGTGGATGCGCACTGCTGAAAAGTCCCACAATAGGATGGTCTAACTTCAATGGACTCGTGATTTCAACCAGTGAAATTTCTCAAAATCTCCACAAAACCCATTCTGATTATAAAAATCAATAATGTTAAGATGACCAATATAAAATGTTGACTTGATTAAGTTTTTATGTTAAATAAAATTAATTAGTTGTTTATAAACTGATTGTTATAAACATATAACTCCGATATTTGTTTATAATAATCTGAATAATTCTTCATTCTTTTGTTTTAATGATTTACAGTTTGTTATGGTGAAATAAGTTGAAATACTACTTAAATTTAACAAAGTAGTAATTTCTGGATATGCCGAAAATGTAGACAATTACCTATGAATAAAATAATGCTCGGTAAGCGAGAAAATTAATGTGAACATTTGTGAAGTAATTGTATTAAAGAAGCTGGAAATTGTTGAGGAAAGCATTTATACCAGTGGATTATATACGAAATAAATATTCTAAGATTGAATTTCACACTATAGAATCTAATTAGTTGAGCTTTAACATCAATTAGAACTGAAATCAGATTATTTCCATGCAGTACAGTTGAAATAAGAAAACTATTTCTACTTTAACAGATAAATCACTGAGGTATTCTGTTTACTTACATTCATTTCAGAATAAATAACTCCAAAAAAAGGTGTTGAATATTTTTATAAAATCAAGATTCTAATATAAATCTTATTCTTAAAAAGTACTCTTAAACTATTTTAAATTATTTAATCACAAGTGTTTATTGAAATTGGGCGGTGGCTAGTAGTCGAACTATAAACCCGAAGTTTGGACTATTTTAGTAGATTTGATTAATTTCATAATAAAGAATGACAAAACTTAAAATTGTCCCTTCAGTAACTTAATTACGAATTAAACAGCGATGTAGTGAAAATCGGATTGTTTATAAATCGCATTTATTTACGTTATGATTGTAAAATAAAGTTTGATATATATATATATATATATATATATATATATATATATATATATTTAAAGGCCCCATTGTGCCATTTAAATCTGGTCTCAACTTTAATGTATGTATGTAATAGAACATTTATTTTTACCGATCCCGGTATTATGAGAAACAAATACAAATCATTTTTTGAAATATTATAATAGAGCGATAAGATTTCTAAACCTGATGCCATAGTTTCATTTAAAGAAAGAAGGAAAAACATGAAAATCGATATAAGAATTTAGGAAATTAAAATGAGTTTTTTCAGTAGTAAACCAATCCAGTTGCTTATTTAACTAGTTTATAATGGATCAATAAATTGATTAAGGGTATATATTTATTGATCAAAGCTAATAAAGTAAGAAATAAATGGAGAGCTTTTAATAAGATTTTCAATACAGATTTTGTTAGATGATGAAAAGTTAATACTGGTTTAAAATCCGTGCATAATTTTGTAAATTACTTTTCTTATTATACATCCACCAGGTGATCAGTGCTTATGGAAGAATGTACTTATCCACTTCTTATTTCCTGTAACTGCTATAACTTTGTAAAGTATTTATATCAGTTCACAATTTCCTTTTATTAATAAACTATTAATTAAACAATTAGTTTTGTATACTTTAATCCACCTGATTAGGTAAGCACTTTTCATCATAACAACAATAAGTTACTTAGTCATTTAGAACGTAGGACCAGGTACATATATGCATTGGTTCAAGTTTCCATACCTCATTAGCATAGCGAGATGAACACCAAATTCATAAAAGCAGTTACTTCAATGGCAGTACTGCATAGAAAAAAGGTTGCACATAAGGGTATGATACAGGGAAAAAGAATTATTTAGTGGAATGAAAAGTATAAAGAATTGTAATCTCATGGTTTAAGGGAAAACAAAGAGTGTATACACCTACTTCATTGTGACCGATTCTGAGCCATGTCACCAAGAGTCTACAACCATTGGTTACGATAGTCATGCGGACCCCAACCAAGTAGTCTGCATCTACCAACATGGCTCAGACTAGAAGTTAATGACTTCAAGCACTGATGCCACGTTTTGGTTTGGCCGCCCCTAACTTTTTTCCAACCATCTCTAACACCCGTTAGCATTGCACGTCGTGGTAATCGGTGTTCGGGCATACGTAACACGTGGCCCAACCATCTCAGTCGATGAAGATTCACAACCTCATCAACTGATTTACCATCATTCCCTAATACCCTGCGTCGAACCACACTATTACTTATCCGGTGATCCCAACAGATGCGAGCAATATTTCTAAGGCATCTGTGTTCAAATACTAGTAGCTTACGAGTGTCTTCTACTCTTATAGGCCATGTTTCGGTGCCGTAGATTAAAACAGAACGGACTGCCGCGCAGTATACTCGTCCTTTTATTGATAGACGGATATCTCGCCTTCGCCATAGGTGACGTAAGTTGGCAAAAGCCAAACGAGCTTTTTGAATCCGTGCTGAGATTTCGTCAGACACTAACCCATTAGGGCTGACCAGACTTCCAAGATAAGTGAAGTTGTCAACGCGTTCAACTACTTCACTCCCTATCCTTAGTTCAGGTGTTGACGCAGACCAGTCCTGAAGCAACAACTTGCATTTAGAGGGAGAGAAGCGCATTCCAAACATTCTGGCATTGTTGCTTAGTGCTACCAAAAGACTCTGCATTTTATCGGCATCTTCACCAAACAGGACTATGCCATCTGCGTATTCTAAGCCGATAAGTGGATCTCCTGGTAGGAGATGAGTTCATAGAAATTCAGTCGGCGAGAATGTTACTTCCATCAGTATGTCTATGATGAAACTGAACAACAATGGAGATAGTGGACAGCCTTGCCGGACACTACATGAGGTTGAAGAGTCAGACGACAGTTCGCCACAAGCTCTAATTCAACTGGAAATGTTTGAGTAGTGAGCCTTCGCAAGGTTCATATATTTTGAGGTACACATTTCAACGACAGACACTGCCATAGTATCACTCCGTCTACAGAGTCAAATGCTGCTTTTAAGTTGAGAAAGACCACCATTGTCGGATGCTGATAAGTATGTCTGTGTTCTAAGATCTAACGAATGGTAAATATGTGAGCTATGTAAACAGAAACAAGACTGAAGCCAGTCTATGTTCTTTCATGTTTACAGTTCACGAGTCTTTGTTCCGTGTACGATAATTATTGAGGCTAGTGTTTTACACTGTACATTAGTCAATGTAATCCCTCTTTCGTTATCATAGATTGATTTTGACACGTTATCACAAAATCAGAATTTTTATTATTGGCATTACAAGTTTTGCACTCAAACATTTATCAATGATAATGTTGCCAAAGAGAATAAAGATAACATATTTCACTAATCGAAATTAAATAATTCAAGTTGAGCTCTTGATGTCAAATCTGAACTTGATCAAATGCATATCAGACTAACATTTGCCTGCCACTAAAACAAATAACAAAGCACTGCATGCAATTAATAACGCAAATAATAAAAAAAGTATCTTTAAGTTAAGAGATTGTAATGATTCAAAGTAAACACTCAATTCTACTGTAATAAGCTATTCACTCAAATATGCTTATACGCATTACAGGGAATATATATAATAAAAAAATTAACATCAACTGAGTTTGACAGCTTATTTAATCATAAATGCACATAGTTCAGGAGATTCAAAATAAATCGAATCAACTATTCAGTGGTCTCTAGTTATTATCAACCTTCCGGCTTATTTTACCTATATATAAAAACAAAATTCAAACTAGTATATTATTGTTATATAAACAGTATTTTGAGTGAATAATATGATAGAAGGAATACTGACACATGAATAATATGGTATGATATAATGTGAATATGAGTAATTAGCAGTCATGAGTGTAATTATACTGGAGAACTATTAATACTATTCATTTGCACATTGTGTCAACCAAATGACATGCTGACTCACATACAGAAGTATGAGACAAAACAAATATGGTTCGAAATTAAACAACACATAGTCAATTAACATAAAATAATATGCAAAGTTTACTGATTATCCATTGATTTTAAGATTCTCAACATCACTCATGTTTCTTTACGTCATAATGAATAGCATATTTGACGAGAAACGAAGGGTGCAATTTAAGAAGTATATTATCAAATATAACTACCAACTCAAAGATGTATAAGACATTTACAAGAACTGCACATACCTGAGTGATTGTTTCATTTCCCAGATTTGTAATATTCCCTACTAATGACATTTTCAGCTGACTAGGTTGAATTATTTGAAAACGATGGGGAGTTGATGAACATAATAATATCTTAATAGACACCTTCATTAGAACAAATTTAAATGTTAATTAGTAGTCTATATAATTACTGCATTACATTTTTTTGTGTTTAGAAAGTACAATAAGTTTAGTAATAGTTAGTAAGTTTCTCGTCAAGTGGGAAAATATTTTAACTGTATAGAGTGATAGGTTAATCACAACCAATCAAGATATATAGATAGATCATATCACACACAGTAATAATGATAGATATGCATTACCAAATATATATATATATATATATATATATATATATATATATATATATATGTGATACAGTCAATCAACATGCACAAATTAGTATTAATTGTAAATTTTCATTATTCAATGTAGACAAGTTTCCTATCGATGTAAACTAAATTCACTATTTGAAAAACAGTAGCAATTAAAATCGAAATAATAAAACATTTATTTTTTGAAATGACATCAAAATCATAAGTTCTAAGATGAACAATCTGATTTTCGTGTTTAAACAAATAATATAATTAATTATATTCGTTTATTCACTCATCAATCTCAATGAAACACGAAACATAAGACAATAGAATCACGAAGACTCGTCACCGAAATCGCCACTAGATATAACAGATCTTTTCACAGTCTTCTTTGTCTCAGAACTTGAACCACTGTCACTGTCACTATCATCATCAGTAATAGTTTTCTTGTTTGTTCTTTTGCGTGTTTCTGTGGAAGATTCATCTTCAACTGGAACTTCTTTGATCTCTCTTGTTTTGACAATTTTTTTGCGTTGCGTTGTTTCTTTAACATCTTCTTGACCTGGATCTATGATTACTTCTCTTTTAATAGTTCTTGAACTTTCACTACCACCACTTATTTCTCCACGGATTTTACCTCCACCTATTTTGGAGCTGATTATACCACGCGGTAAACGGCCTAATCGTCTCGCTAATAAAATATCGCGTACATTTCGTAAACCGTCACCACCAATCACTAAACCTCCTTTGATTCCTACTCCACTACCAAGACCTAGACCCGCTTTGATTCCTGCTCCACGACCAAGACCTAGTTCCGCTTTGATTCCTGATCCACTACCAAGACCTAGACCCGCTTTGATTCCTGCTCCGCGACCAAGACCTAGTTCTGCTTTGATTCCTGCTCCACTACCAACATCTAGACCTGCTTTGATACCCCCGTCACCACCAACTCCTGTGCCTTCAGAGGCGGCATCTAGAAAGGCAAAATCATAATGAATACGATAATTAATGTCACTTGAGTAATGTGTTGAAGTGAAAAAATAAAAATAAACAAGTTAATTATTTGGGCTTTCTCTTCACCTACCTCCAGTTTGAAAGAAGAGACATGTCGAGCAAATCGTTATGAATAATATCTATTAAAAATTATCATGAAAAAGAGAGTATTTATGAATAAAAATAAAATAATCACACTAACAGATGTGAGCGCCATTAGCTATGTTCTCAGAAAACCTGGATTGTGTATAAACATTTATTGAGAGGCTTAGAGTACATTTATACTCTTTCTTTATATTTTTCACGAGGTTACAATTGATTTATTTACTAACTAGATATGTCACAACGTACAATCAAGATTATCGTAAAATGCAGAGAAAAATTATAATGACTAGGTTCTATAACCTCATTTTTCTATATTAAATGTAAATTATTTTTGTTTGTGACAAGTGCCATTATTTGGTCAGTTTGTCCTTTTATTGAAATGACCGATTTTATTGTCATGCTCAATAAAATATGTCACTGGTTTAATGCAATAACTATACAGGAAGAACGTATTTTTATAGGAGGTTATCTTGCTGGATCTACTTCATTTAGAGACAAAGTGATTTATAAATAAAATGTATTCTATTTTGTATTCCATAAACTATTTCATTTTGTTTAATTTCCACCATTACCTGATATCAAGTTAACTGTTGAAAACACTGGACAGATATTTTGTCTCAGTTTGAGACTCCTTAGCAGTGTACACTCTGTCTGATCCTATTAGAAACGCATGTATAAAACAAATACCTTCTTCCTGTATAGTTATTGGATTAAACCAGTGACATATTTTATTGAGTATGACAATAAAATCGGTCATTTCAATAAAAGGACAAACTGACCAAATAATGGCACTTGTCACAAACAAAAATAATTTACATTTAATATAGAAAAATGAGGTTACAGAACCTAGTCATTATTATTTTTCCCTGCATTTTACGATAATCTTGATTGTACGTTGTGACATATCTAGTTAGTAAATAAATCAATTGTAACCTCGTGAAAAATATAAAGAAAGAGTATAAATGTACTCTAAGCCTCTCAATAAATGTTTATACACAATCCAGGTTTTCTGAGAACATAGCTAATGGCGCTCACATCTGTTAGTGTGATTATTTTATTTTTATTCATAAATACTCTCTTTTTCATGATAATTTTTAATAGATATTATTCATAACGATTTGCTCGACATGTCTCTTCTTTCAAACTGGAGGTAGGTGAAGAGAAAGCCCAAATAATTAACTTGTTTATTTTTATTTTTTCACTTCAACACATTACTCAAGTGACATTAATTATCGTATTCATTATGATTTTGCCTTTCTAGATGCCGCCTCTGAAGGCACAGGAGTTGGTGGTGACGGGGGTATCAAAGCAGGTCTAGATGTTGGTAGTGGAGCAGGAATCAAAGCAGAACTAGGTCTTGGTCGCGGAGCAGGAATCAAAGCGGGTCTAGGTCTTGGTAGTGGATCAGGAATCAAAGCGGAACTAGGTCTTGGTCGTGGAGCAGGAATCAAAGCGGGTCTAGGTCTTGGTAGTGGAGTAGGAATCAAAGGAGGTTTAGTGATTGGTGGTGACGGTTTACGAAATGTACGCGATATTTTATTAGCGAGACGATTAGGCCGTTTACCGCGTGGTATAATCAGCTCCAAAATAGGTGGAGGTAAAATCCGTGGAGAAATAGGTGGTGGTAGTGAAAGTTCAAGAACTGTTAAAAGAGAAGTAATCATAGATCCAGGTCAAGAAGATGTTAAAGAAACAACGCAACGCAAAAAAATTGTCAAAACAAGAGAGATCAAAGAAGTTCCAGTTGAAGATGAATCTTCCACAGAAACACGCAAAAGAACAAACAAGAAAACTATTACTGATGATGATAGTGACAGTGACAGTGGTTCAAGTTCTGAGACAAAGAAGACTGTGAAAAGATCTGTTATATCTAGTGGCGATTTCGGTGACGAGTCTTCGTGATTCTATTGTCTTATGTTTCGTGTTTCATTGAGATTGATGAGTGAATAAACGAATATAATTAATTATATTATTTGTTTAAACACGAAAATCAGATTGTTCATCTTAGAACTTATGATTTTGATGTCATTTCAAAAAATAAATGTTTTATTATTTCGATTTTAATTGCTACTGTTTTTCAAATAGTGAATTTAGTTTACATCGATAGGAAACTTGTCTACATTGAATAATGAAAATTTACAATTAATACTAATTTGTGCATGTTGATTGACTGTATCACATATATATTTTTTGATAATGCATATCTATCATTATTACTGTGTGTGATATGATCTATCTATATATCTTGATTGGTTGTGATTAACCTATCACTCTATACAGTTAAAATATTTTCCCACTTGACGAGAAACTTACTAACTATTACTAAACTTATTGTACTTTCTAAACACAAAAAAATGTAATGCAGTAATTATATAGACTACTAATTAACATTTAAATTTGTTCTAATGAAGGTGTCTATTAAGATATTATTATGTTCATCAACTCCCCATCGTTTTCAAATAATTCAACCTAGTCAGCTGGAAATGTCATTAGTAAGGAATATTACAAATCTGAGAAATGAAACAATCATTCAGGTATGTGTAGTTCTTGTAAATGTCTTATATATCTTTGAGTTGGTAGTTATATTTGATAATATACTTCTTAAATTGCACCCTTCGTTTCTCGTCAAATATGCTATTCATTATGACGTAAAGAAACATGAGTGATGTTGAGAATCTTAAAATCAATGGATAATCAGTAAACTTTGCATATTATTTTATGTTAATTGACTATGTGTTGTTTAATTTCGAACCATATTTGTTTTGTCTCATACTTCTGTATGTGAGTCAGCATGTCATTTGGTTGACACAATTGAGTAAATGAATAGTCTTTGTAGTTCTCCAGTATAATTACACTCATGACTGCTAATTACTCATATTCACATTATATCATACCATATTATTCATGTGTCAGTATTCCTTCTATCATATTATTCACTCAAAATACTGTTTATATAACAATAATCTACTAGTTTGAATTTTGTTTTTATATAGAGATAAAATAAGCCGGAAGGTTGATAATAACTAGAGACCACTGAATAGTTGATTCGATTTATTTTGAATCTTCTGAACTATGTGCAGTTATGATTAAATAAGCTGTCAAACTCAGTTGATGTTAATTTTTTTATTATATATATTCCCTGTAATGCGTATAAGCATATTTGAGTGAATAGCTTATTACAGTAGAATTGAGTGTTTACTTTGAATCATTACCTTATCTTAACTCTAATATATTTAGTGTATTGTTTGATGTTTTGTTCGTGAATATTAATACGCACTATTTTCGTTACTCATATTACTTTTATTAATCTTGACATTATTACAAATATTATTTCGCAGGATAATGGAAAACGAATTACTAGAATACATTGCATTATATTGAATTTGATTGATGTTAATAAATCTGACGTGCTTGTTATTCTGTCAACTGAGGCAATCCACTTAGAATATGACATACATTCTGTTCAAGAGACACAATTTCGATTACCATTATGCGCTCATATCAACTCACATGTATACATATATTAAATAACTGTCAATATATAGCTTGGAGGAAACTATATTTAAATTAAATTACAAGCCTTTAAAATGTCAAGATTAATTTGTATCCTTTCATTGGTAAAGTGACCCAAGTTATTTATCTAACTAATTAAACAATTATTGCCATGATGAAGTTATTAATTCTTTGTGATCACGAAACATCGCCAATTCGTTTTTCTTTTTTACTCTGGTTTCAAGAATATAGCACTTCGGTTGTTAACACGCCACTGAGTTTATTTAAATTTATTAAGATTACATCTTGATATTTATCTTACAAATGATTGGATGCAGTCATATTGGATGGTTGTATACTAGATCTTAGTAATTAAGCTAAAGATAAATCAATGAACACGACAAGATTAACCTTTTAAAGGATCGAAATAAAGAGAGCTGACCTGATTACATGGATTAAATTGATTTAAGACATATTCATTTATCGTAAACTTAGAGAGTATTTTCTGGCAAGGCTGGAGGAGGAATGGTAGTGCTGGATGGAGATAAATTATCCATAATCACAGTTATATTTCTCATATATTCAAAATCTAATAATCAGTGACATTCCATCTTTCATTGAAATATGATTTATAAACATATTCCATTAGGTTATAACTATTGTTATTAAACAAATTTTATACTGTTAGTTTCAACAAAAAAGCACTTAAAATAATCAACTCACAAATATCTCCAGCCTGTAACAAACATACATAATTTTGTTACTTGACCTGTAAAACCACGTAACACGTAACACACTACTTTTACAATCAATAACATTCACTAACTTATTTAGAAATTTCACAAATAAATAAAGGAAGGATATTGTGAAAATATTCATTATTTATACATCAAAGAATGTGCCATAAATAAACAGAATGTTAAACGTTGATAAAAGTACATAACTTTAAAAACTTATGACTTGAGATTTAGGCAACGAAAGGTTCGAAAGAGAAGATATAATCCGGAATAGTTCCCCCATCATTTGGATTATTACCAGCTGAATTTAGTTCAGAGTTTCCCATCTCTGACTGTGTACCTGTATTATCGCCACGTGCACAGCATGCAGCTTCTAAAAAAGATATGATAATAAGATTATAGCAATATTAAACATATTCCCATATAACATTAGAAGAAATGTTTAAAATGAAAATAAATGGTTTTCAGTACTTAAATTATGGTAGAAAACTACTTAGCTACTCAACATAAATTTTTTTTAAAATTTCTTCTGATCTCTAAATAATGAGGGATGTCACAAACAAATTTACATAGGTTGCAATATACACAGTATTACATGAATTCAATTACCTTGAGAATTAAAATGAATAGAGATCACAAGAATTAGTAACAGTGTTTTCACTTCACTCCCCATGTTTGCTCGTCCTCTACAATTCTAAGCATAATGGAACCGTGTAATTTATATACTCCTGAAACATTACTTACCAACAAATAACTTCAGTTGTTTATAGAACAACTTGCAAACGATAATCATTAGCAGATTTAATTAAATTTCATATCGATTCGAAGTAATTAATTAGCGGTAAAAATAACACAATCAAATGACTTTTTTATTCAAGAAATAAACATTCACTTTTATTTGTATTAAAAATAATAGAGAACATGTTCGACACTTGCAATTGTTGCCCACATTGTGTTTACTTGAATATATGTCTAACTTAGTTAAAGTTCGCCAAATGCATGATTAGTAAACATTGCTTCAAAATACGATTTTCTTTAATTATGATTAAATTAAATAATGAAGAAAACCTAACCACTCCTCTAGACAGAATGTCACACATGTACAAACATACAAAACTTATTAGCTATAGATTGTCGAATATATTAACTTTGTTAACAATGTTGAAAGTTCCACTTTCTTTTTTATTTTAATTAAAGGTGAACTTGTTATTCAGTTTTATTATTTATAACTTCAGTAAATTAAAATTCTAGAGACCAAAACAGAAGTATGAAAATGAATGACGATAGAACTTCGTAAGAAAACAGATCATGAAATGTACATGCACTTATAGGTACGATAAATAATGTTAATAATAGATATGAATTAAAATTCAATTATTAAACTGTATTGTGGCACTTGTACGAACTAATGATTCTTTTGTGCTTGATCACCCGTTGATTACGAATTCCAAATATTATATATTCATTTGTGCTCATCTAGTTCTACCTGACTTAAATTCCAATATTTCGGGAATTCTTAGTACATTAATTCGAATACTTCTAATTATCACATGTATGTATCTCATCAATCATCGGGTTATTGCAAATATATCATCATCTCTGTCATATACTAGTGTAGCGAACAAAAACTCAGGCACGTTGAATCATTTTATTGTTTTATTCAAAATCAAATCTCCTTTGTAAAATATGTAAATAATACATTAACTACATAATTTACGTATCCTCCTTGATTTGTTCTTTACATAGTTCACCATACTTTTAATCCTGTTGCTATTTCATGTGCCCTCTATTTCCCCTCCTATTCTCTTTATTTCAATCTTCTTCTGGTAAGCGCTGCACTTTCGACTTCTGCCACATACTACTTATATCTTTAAGTTGATAACATTCACTTGTAGATCCTTATTGACTCATTCGCTCAATAAAGTTTAACAGTTAATATGACCCAAGTATTCATACTTCATCCTACTCAACAATATTTTTATACGGCGTTTGAAATGACATTATTTTTATCAAACAACCTTGGTATGTATATTAATACAGGTGTACACTATCCGTCTTTCATAGTTTAGGAGGAAAACAGGAATCACCTTAACAATTAACTTTAAACCAAATATTCCTGCTACTTCTCACATTTTTATTGGATTTATAACTAGGACTACGTTTATCATTATATTTATTGTACAATGAGATACAGACAAATCCTGTGTATTATAATTTTTCTCAACTAAATTATACTTCTATAATCACTCATTACTTGTAAATGAGTTGTATTTATTAGATTTAATACTAATACCACCAGTATGGTGTGTCCTACTTATGCGGACAAATAAAAGTAATATATAGCAGGAATTGGAAGTGCAGCGTTTACCAGATGAAGACTGATATAAAGAGAATAGAAGGGAAAATAATGGGCATTTGAAATAGAAACAGGATTGAAAGTATTGGGAACTATATGATGAACAAATCAAGGAAGGTATGCAAATTATGTAGTTAATGTATTATTTACATATTTTACAACGAATTTGTGTGACATTTTGCAAAGCAGTAAGTTGGTTATTTCCACCAAGTTCTGCTCATTATGTCATCACCAAAATATAAAAGTATTTATGAACGGGTGTGCACACAAGATGCTTAGTGTCCACTGACCGGATGCAATCAGCAAAAGCATACTGTGGGAACAAACCAACTTTTTTAACTACACAGAAAATCAGGAGAACGGTCTGAAGAAGGCTACAACATATACTACAGAAGTCAAAAAACTGCACCACGAACCAAGCCCTGATTTGGAATTCAGAAGGCAAATGGAAAGGACTTTGAAACAAACGGGAAGTACAGTCCAGGACAGAGTTGATTTGGGAATCCTGGATAGTTGCGTCCAACCTGTCTATTTTATTCCATGATTCCCGTGAGATGTCGAGGTCTTCATAATCCAGCTGACCATCAAAAGAAAGAGGGAAGAAGATAATAAGCAATCTCGCCTGACTCCAGTCTTCAATTAAAAATGCGTTTTTAGCTTTCCTCCGTGGAAAACTTTGCAGTGTAGCCCGTTGTATGAATTCCGTAAGATATGGAAGACTTTTAGGTTCACCATAGTGCCAAATAGAGTCCTATAATGTTATCCTATCGAAACTATGAAACGTCGCCTAGTCAATCAAGTTAATGTATAGTGGTGAATTCCATTTAATTGATTGTTCAAAAATGATCTGTAGTGTCACGATTTGGTTTTTTCAGGATCGATTTTCACGGTTTTGTGGTGTTTGAACGAACTAATGATACTTTTGTACTTGTTGATTGCACGATTTCGAATTCCAAATACAATACGTTCGTTTGTGCTTGTGTCTCACTTCTTAATTCAATTGCGTTATTTCTGGGACTCTTAGTTCGTGCTATAATTCAAATAACTCGAAACATTATATTGGTGTCGCGATGGAGCTTGCAATGGAAAAGTTGGATATTCATTCAACTCTTGAAGCTTTTGAGGATTACTTGGAAAGGTTCGAAATCTGGAGCATGACCAAGAAAGATGTTAAAGGTGATAAAATTGTAGCACATTTTCTGACATTCATTGGTAGAGAAGCGTACAGCTTATTAAAAACTTTGGCATATCCAGAAAAACCTATCTCACTCCCTTATGCAACTCTTAAAGAGCTATTATTAAGTCATGTAAAATGCACCAGTTTTGAATGCCGTGAAAGGGCGAAGTTTCATAAGATGGTTCGTCAAAATGACCAAAAGGGTTAGGGAATTCATCCTTGAATTACAGAAACAAGCTGGCAAGTTTAATTTCGGTGATCAACTTCATGTGCATCTGAGAGATCGATTAATTGCAGGAATTAACATACCGAGTTTGGAAAGAGAGCTGTTAAGAATGCCAAACTTTTCCTTTCAAGATGCTAGAACTGCATGTATTAACTACGAAGCAGTCAATGAACTTGATATCCAGTCGATGAAGATTTCTAATACTTTGCTTAGTCGTTGTGATGAACTACAATCTCAGGGTCAATCAAACTTGCGTTCATTTAACAGTGATTCCTATTCTCGTGTAAATATGAAAGGTGTTTCAACGAGGAATTACAAAGCAAATCACGAAGGTGAGATGAAGTTTGGTAAATGTTTATCATGTGGAAAGTTTCATTCTCATGATTCATGCGCATTTCGTAGTGCTAAATGTTTTAAATGTGGTAAGATAGGACACATTCAGTCAGTATGCAAAGCTACTGTCCATTTCGCTTCAAGTAGTACTAAATCTTGTAATTTAAATCTCAATAATTCGGATGTTTCTAGTTGTAGCGGTAAATAGATCCCCAAAATAAATAGCTCTGTAAGTTTTCGACATTGGATGCTGACCATATGTTTTAGTGGACTCATCTAGCTCGAGGCGCTCGGTCATGCATCCGCACCAGATCACGTGTGGTAACGCTGTGCTCAACATACACCGCAATCGCTAGCCAGATTAGATCAGAGAATTCCGATATATTGGTCATCGCCAAATACACTCTCCCGATCTCCTCGACTCTGTCTTTTGATTTCTCTAGGTGGGAACGAATTATATTAGGTGTTACTGGTAAAAGCGTCGTCAAACACTGAATACCTGTGTCATCTTCATAGTGATCATTTATCTTTGTCTACTGTTTCGAAAGGTAATGCTCATATTCAAAAGCGACTATATACATCGGTTGGTTCATTTCATGACTTTATTGTGGACACAAGCAGTATAGAGTCCATTATTTCATTCAAGAACTTGAAATCCTTAGATCCTAATGTTGTAGTACGACCCACTGAAGTATCAATACTGGGGATTACTGGACACAGACTGCCCATACGAGGATGTTGTGAATTGCTAATCAGAGATGATAATTCTTCATACATACCTTGTGAATTTTTAGTTAGCGAAACAGGACTGTCAATATTGGGTTTAAAGAATTTGAAAAGGCTTAAAGTGGAGTTGTCATTCCTAGTTTCTAAAGAAAATTCCGACACTTTACTTAAAGATTTGATAGCTATGTGTGCCAAGTGCGGTGAAGGTATGAAAATTCAGCCTATAAAACTTCAAGTACAGGGTGATCCAGTCTTTCTTAAAAGACGAATAATTCCTTATGGTCTTCGAGAATTAGTACATAAGACATTAAATGATTTGTGTACGAAAGGCATAATTGAACCAATTCAGTCTTCAGCATGGGGTACTCCTATCGTTACGCCACTGAAGTCGGACGGCAAGACCCCTAGAATTTGTGGTGATTATAGATTAACTCTGAACTCCCGTTTGTTGAAGCAAACGTGCACGGTGGTAGAGGCTGAAGATATTCTAAATCGAGTTCATAGTTCTAAAGTATTCTCGGAAGTTGACCTAAAAGGTGCTTATCTTCAAATTCCTTTAGATCAATCTTCATCTATTTTGACGACAATTAAAATTCCGTTTGGTCTGTTCAAATACAATTTCCTTCCATTCGGTCTGAGTTGTTCTCCAGCCATATTTCAGGAAGATATGAATAAAGTAGTTAGTGATCTTGGAGGTGTTGAAGTTTATCAAGATCATCTCATTGTTCATGGTTTTAATAAGGTAGTTCATGACCAGGGACTTATTGCTTTATTGCGTCGTTTAGTTGAGAAGAATATTACAGTGAATCCAAATAAGTGTTCACTTTGTGTATTTAGTTTTGAATGCCTTGGATACCCAGTTGATGGTAATGGTTTTAGACCATATATGAAACGACTAGCTCCACTGACAAATGCACCGTCT